CTGGCCTGGTAGAACAAACTAAGTTACATTCACCCAATGGCAGCCAATGCAGTTACTTAAAGGAATGAGGAATATTTACATGCCGGTATGGAAGGCTCACTAGGAAAAGTTAAATGCAAAAAAGACAAATACAGAAAAGTATATATAGTAAGCTACCATTCATCTAAAGGTTACAAAATATGTATATATTTGCTTATGTTAAATAAATATTAGATAAACTTATAAAAAGAAACTACTTATAAGAAAAGGAACTAGATGCCTCTGACTAAATCTAGTTTTGTAGGTTTGATTTTAGAATTATGTAAGTATTTTAATAATGATAAAACAAAAATTTTAAAAATCAATTCTTAAAATCAAAAGCAAAATGTAATGAACTAGCCTAAGTTTCTATCAAGTTGTTGGTGTAGCAATACAGAAAGAATATTTTTAAATGATTAAACATAGTCATTTGATTGTATATCCCTAGTGGGATCCCTAAGAACAAAAGGAATTTTTAAAAAATCAGAAACTGATTTTAATAATCTCACAGTTGTTGGGATGCTGGCACTGGTATACAGAGACTGATGGTGTGTGGATTATGAAATAAAGCAAATAAGTTATGTTGGAGTTTCTTAATGTTTAGCACAGGAAAAAGAAGCTAAAAATGTCAGATTAAAGAGACTAAGTAAAATTTTGTAGTTTTGAATTTGAGTTGGAAGTAGGTTTTTTTCGAGGTGTGGTTCACAGTTTGCAGTCAACCATAACTCTCAAATTTTGGATACTAAATACCATTTCTTGGTTCAAGGAACCAGGGATTCTTGGAGAAAGGGCTGATCCCAGATCTGGGGCAGGAAATGTACAATGTATCAGAAAGCAAAGAAGCTCTCAAAGTCATCTGTCATGTCAAAAGATCTCAGAGGCCAAACTAAAGAGGACCCCACTAGCCAAAGATGAGGCCATCAATAAGGATAACCTCCCTCACTCTTCCTTCCTCCCTTCACCTGACCCCCCTTCCTCTATCCTAGCGATCGCCCTTCTACTTTCATTAGGTCCCGTTTTTGCCTGTTTCCCTCCTTTAGCTTCCACATATAAGAGAAAACATGCATTTTTCCTTTCTTAAACTTGGACTTACTTAAACTCAGACTTTATCTCTGAGTCTGATTTAGTTCAATCAAAATTATGTTCTCCAGTTCTGTCCATTTTCCTACAAGTGACATAATTCTGTGACAGACACCTAGGCTGATTCCATAATTTGGGGCTATTATGAATTGTGCTTTAATAAACATGGGTATGCATGTATTTCTAGAGTATGTTGACATTAGTTCTTCTGGATAAATACTAAGGAGTCATAGAGCTGGATCATGTGGTAGTTCTATTCTTAGCTTTTGGAGGAAACTCCATATTGATTTCCATAGTGGCTGTATTAATTTATATTCCCACCAACAAAGTATAAGAGTTTCTTTTACCTGCCATCCTCCCCAGCATTTATTGTTATTTGTAATTATGATGCTTTGCCATTCTAACTGAAGTGAGATGAAATTTCAGTGTAGTTTTAGTTTTCATTTCCCTGATGGCTAAAGAAGTGAGCCTTTTTTCATCTAATTGTTGACCATTTATATTTCTTTCTTTTTTAAAAAAAAAAAAAATATTTTTTAGTTGTCAATGGGCCTTTATTTTATTTATTTATATGCGGTGCTGAGAATCAAACCCAGTGCTTTATACATGCCAGGCAAGCGCTCTATCACTGAGCCACAACCCCAGCTCTGTATTTCTTTTGATGAGTGTCTGTTCAGCTCATTTGCCCATTTATTGATTGGGTTATTTGCTTTTTAAAAAAATTTTGAATTGTTTGAGTTCTTTATATACTCTGGATATTAAAACTCTGTCCAAAGAACAGCTGGAAAAGATTTTCCCTCATTCTTTTTTCAAATTTTATATATATATTTAGTTGTTGATGGACCCTTATTTTATTCATTTTTTTATATGCACTGCTGAGAACCAAACTCAATGCCTCATACATGCTAGGCAAGCTCTATACCACTGAGCCCCAATTCCAGCCCCTGAGATTTCCCCCCATTCTGGTAGGTTCTCTCTTTACTCTGCTATTTCTTTTGTTATGCCATGTAAAAGCATTTATTTATTTATTTGCTTCCTTATTTATTTATTTATACCAGGGATTGAATTCAGGGGCACTGTACTACAGCTATGTCCTCAGCCCTTTTTATTTTGATTTTGAGACAGGATCTTGCTAAGTTGCCCAGGCTGGTCTCAAACGTATGATCTTTCTACCTCCATCTCCCAAATCACTGGGATTTTTACCACCTGCAGAAGCTTTTTAATTTGATGCCATCCATTTGTTGATTCTTTCCCTGATTTCCTGAGATATAGGGGTCCTATTGAGTCATTGTGTTTTAAAGTGTTTTCCTTGTTTTTTCTTCTAACACCAAAGACCTGGTCTTATAGTCAGATCTTTGATCCATTTGAGTTTGCTTTTGTACAGGGTGAGAGATAGGGATCTAGTTTCATTCTTCTACATATGGATATCTGATTTTTCCAGCACCACTTGTCAAAAGGCTGATTTTCTCTATTGTATGTTTTTGGCACCTTTGTCAAGAAATCAGATGACTGTAGCTGTGTGGGTTTGTTCTCTGTGTCTTCTATTCTGTGCCATTAGTCTACATTATCTGTCTATATGCAAGCACCAATCTGTCGTTATTATTGCTCTGTAGTATAATTTGTAATCAGGTATTGTAATGCCTCCAGCAATTGCAAAGTCAACATCATTCTAGATGGGGAAAACTAAAAGTATTTCCTCCAGAATCAGGAATAAGACAAGGATGTCCACTCTCACCACTCCTATTCAATAAGGTACTTGAAATTTTAGCCAGAGTAATTTAGGAAAGAGAAAGAAATAAAGGTGAAACAAATAAGAAAGAAGAAGTCAAATTATCCCTGTTTGAAAATGATATATCCTATAATAACAGTTCCACCAGAAGACTGTAGAGCTAATAAACAAATTTAGCAAAGTAGCCAGATACAAAATCAACTTACAAAAATCAATAGCTTTTCTGTACAATGGAATGAATCCACTGAGAAAAACCATCAGGAAAACAGTTTCATTCACAATGGCTTCAAAAAGTAACAAAATATCTAGGAATCAATCTGACCAAGGATGTGAAAGACCTCTACAATGAAAATTATAGGACACTGAAGAAAGAAATTGAAGAAGACAGTAGAAAGGGAAAAGACCTTCATGTTTATGGATAGACAGAATGAATATTGTTAAAATGGCCACATTACCAAAAGCCATTTACAGGTTCAATGCAATTCTCATCCAAATACCAATTCTTCACAGAACTAAGAAAAATAATCCTAAATTCATATGGAAATTCATATGATAAAATAAAGGATCCAGAATAGCCAAAGCAATCCTGAACAAAAAGAGCAAGTACAGCTTCTAATGATTACAAGTAAAATAGATAGGAAGGACTGAACCAATAATGAGATTTAATATGGCAACAGGGAATTTATGAAGATCCTGATTCATGCAAATAAGAGAGACAAAAGCAGACAGAGACGGAGAGAAGGAGGGAGAACAGAGGTAGGAAAAAAGAGAAAGACAGTATGAGAAGAAGGAATATGGAGGCAATGTGAACCATAGCTACTGTTCACAGTAGCCAGGATGTGGAATCAACCTAAACATTCATTGTTAGAGTAATGAATAATGAAAATGTGTTCTGTATACATAATGGAATACTATTCTGCTCTAAAAAAGAATGAAATCCTTTCATTTGCTACAGTATGGACGGAATGAAATAAGTCAGGCAAACACTATGATCTGACTCCCATGTAGACTCTCAAAAATTAATCTCATAGAGATTGAGAGTTCGCAGAGGCTGAGGAGACAAAAGGGAAGGGGAGCTGTGAAGAGATTGCTCAATGTGTTAGTTAATAGGAAGGAGAAGTTGTGGTATTCTATGGCATGGTAAGGAGAATATAGTTAAAAATAACATTCTGTGTCTCTCAAGATAGTTGAAGAGAAGATTTTTGAATGTACTCACCATAGAGAAATTTGATAAAAGTTTAAGGTGATATATATGCTAATTACCCTGATTTAATCATTGCCCAATGTAAATCCAGATATCAAATTGTAAGTCATAAACATGCACAAATTTTGCCAGGCACAGTGGTGCATGCCTATAATCTCAGCGACTCAGGAGGCTGAGGCAAGAGGATGGCAAGTTTGAGGCTAGCCTGGGCAACTTAACAAAAGCTTGCCTCAAAATAAAAAAAGGCAGGAGATGTAGCTCAGGGGGTTCAATCCTCATAACAAGAAAAAAATTAATAAATATGTACAAATTTTACGTGTCAATCAAAAAATGAAACAAAATTTTTAAATGGTTTCTAAGTTTTACAGGTATAATAATGAAACTCTATGCTTCTTTAAAAGAATTCTTATATTTTAGTGATACATACCAAGGTAGTGGAATGAAATGATATGTGTACTTTGCTTTGGGAGGAAATAATAGGAGAGAATACAGATGCAATAAGAATCATTATTCAAGCCAGGCGTGGTGGAGCACACCTGTAATCCCAGCAGCTCTGGCAGCTGAGGCAGGAGGATCTTGGGTTCAAAGACAACCTCAGCAACTTTGCGAGGCCCTTAAAAAAGAATGGTTGTTCAAACTGGGAGCTTGATGTATGGGCTTCATTACACCATTCTCTCTTCTTTTATCTATATTTAAAACTTCCATTATGAAAACATTTTCTTGAAAGAAAGCCTAGGCTCACTTTTTCTCACCCTTTAGTTTATTCCCTGCAGAGATTGAGAGTGGACCCATCACTGTGACCACTTATGACTTAGCATATCTCCCAGTTTTCAAACCAGTAATTTTGAACCCAATAATTTCCAAAGCTGATTTTGTTGTTGTTGTTGTTGTCATTGTTGTTTTAATTGAAAAGCTGTGTCCCTGCTGTTGGTTCTGGGGAATGCTGACCAATACTGATTTTTTGCTTTTCAGGTTCTGGTATCTCCAGCTATGGGAATAACCCCCAAGACGCTCCCAGAGCCTTTGAGGATTGCATGCTAAAAGTCAAGGGGCAGGTCCCAGAGCACCTCCACGGATCCACCCGCATTTACCTAGGAGCCACGGCTGGGATGCGCTTGCTGAGGTAAAGGCTGAGTGGGGCCAAGGAGCTCCCATGACCAAAATAGCCAAGAATGTGTTGAATCTTGCCAAGAACGTATCTCTGTTTCTGGGAACAAACCCAAGAGAAAGAAGCCCATATTCTGCCTTAAATTTAGGCTTTCATGATTGGGAAACATTCAGTCTTTATTTTAAAATGCAGAAAGAAACTGTTCTAAAATTGATTCCCTCTACCTTTGTGATTTTACTGAGAACTCTGGAAAAAGAAAGATGACCGACATCTGCTTTAGAAAACAGAAGTGTTTGACACCGTGAACAGCCACTAAGATGCGTGATAAATGTTACCTCTAGCTGTGTAGCTTCTTCCCGTGCACAAAATGTCCCTGAAACCTGCTTTAAAACCATAGGATGTCTGCCTCTCACATCAGTCAAAGCCCTTTGGACTTGTTATGAAACAAACATCCCATTTCATTTCATAAGTTCATGCTAAATTTGCAGCTATGACTTTTAGCCCCAGAGGCATGGTTTTTGAATGTCTCCTTCTCCTCCCTCCCTCCCTACCCTCCCCCCCATCTTTGATAGAGTATTTCCTTAACCTTGCAATAAAAAGAAACATCAAACATAAATCCATTCACAACAGAGGCTGCTCCAAGTGTTGGAAGTGAGGCTTGATCTTGATCACCAGTAGACAAGACTCATTCAGCAACAAAGGCACTTTGTCCATGATCCCAGTCATGGAAAATAATGCATGTTTGGGCATGAAGAAAATAGGAACAGACAGAGGTGCTTTAACATGATCATAAAGAGAAATCACAGCATGTTCACAGTTGGATTGGGTCTTCTCCATGAAGTGCCCCTGTTCTTGCTTGTGGCTTGAAGCATTGGTTTTTCTTCTTCCTGAGCCAAGAGTAAACCAGTGCCCCCGGGTTTTCTTAAACCACTGATGAAGGGGGAAATAATCTCCCAAGTGAGCTTTCTTTTATAGGGTAATTGGCAGCAGATAGGTGCAATAATAGTACAATGTCATGGGTGATATAATAATGCCATGTTGCGTCTCCTATGTGGGTCAAAATACTGATGTGACAGCTGTAATGACCCTCAAATCCCCTCAAAATGAAGCCCTCCCAAAGGGTGAAGCAGGCACAGCTGAAAACTCAACCTTATCCACTTTCCCCCCTGCCTCCTAAGAGATTACTTACACAACCCCCATGCCTTCCCTAGTTTCTCTCTGTCTCTCTCTGTCTCTGTTTCTGTCTCTCTGCCTCTCTCTCTCTCTCTCTCTTGTACTGGGGATTTAACCCAGGGATTCTCAACCACTGAGCTACATCCCCAATTTATTTATTTATTTATTTATTTTACTTTTACACAAAGTCTCACTAAATTGCCCAGGCTGGCCTCAAAAATTTGAGATCTTCCTGCCTCAGCCTCCCAAATAGCTGGGATTACAAGTGTGACCCACCACGCCTGACTGGATGGCTCTTTTGATTAGCTGATTGCAAGAGAATGAAACAGGAGCAGGTGGGGTTGGGGAAAACAGATTGTACTTTTATGGAAAACTCTTTTCCTGCTTGGCAGTTTAAGAGGTCACTGCCTTCTCAGTTACCTTGGCAGGCTTCAACTTGCAAAAGAGATTGCCTGTGTATTGCACACATCTGGAAAAATGCCAGCCGGGGGTTGTGGGGGTTTCCCTTATCACCTGAGGGAGACTACTTGACTGTGTCGTCTAGGCACTCAGCCTTTTGTGTTCTGTGCCTCGCATAGGTTGCAAAATGAAACAGCAGCTAATGAAGTCCTTGCAAGCATCCAAAGCTACTTCAAGTCCCAGCCTTTTGATTTTAGGGGTGCTCAAATCATTTCTGGGCAAGAGGAAGGGGTATATGGATGGATTACAGCCAACTATATAATGGGAAATTTCCTGGAGGTGTGTGGAAACAAATGCATGGTTTTTAATCTTGCTGTTTATCTTGTCCCTTGAGGGAGATAGTTTAAGCAGAAATACCCGCCAATGGAGCATTCCTGCCGTGTGTGCACTAGGGAAGCAGTGCTCAAAAAAAGGCATTTACATAGAGCTGGGTGGGAGGGACCATGGATCATAAATAGGACCAAATGCATGGAGGAGGAGGAATATTGTCACTTTGCTAGCTTGTTAGAAATTGGGGAGAGGGATCTAAATTTAATCCTGCTACTGCACATGGACCTTTTGAAGGCTCCACGGCCATCTGGAATTTGCAGCACCCTCAGTCAGTCTGCTTCCCTGAATCCCCAGAGAGAGAGGGAGTCCTCACTCTGTGTTCCCAGGCCTCTTTACAGTCCGGTCCTTACACTTCCTGCTCCTTGGGTGCAAAGGAATGTTATATATGATGCAAAGGATCCAGAATGAGGGCACTCAGATCCTATCCTATCCAAGTCCCATTTTGTCCCCCCCTTGAATGTATTTTTAAACTTTTTAGATTGATTGCTGTGGTTAATATTTAGGAAATTTCACATGAAAATCTACACATTGATATCCTCACACATGCCACTGGAGGAACTGGTCACAGTGGACTCCCCTTCCTGCATGGTAACAACCGGCAGGAACAGAGCGCAGGTTGGGGACTCACTAGCTTGTCACAATCCCCACCAGTCCCCACGCCAAACACCTAATCTGTTTCACTCATTTATGACTCATCTGTGTTATCTGCCAAGCTCCTGGAACCATTTGAATTCACCACCCCTGAAATAAAAGGAGAGAAGTGGTCTGAATGTTCCCTTCTTAGCAAGAGGAGTTGGGTCTTGGGCGGAGATCCCTGGGCAAGAGATGGTGCCTTTGGCCTTTCTTCTCACTTCCTTTTCCCACTGTGCAGAAGAACTTGTGGCACATGTGGGTGCATCCACATGGAGTGGAAACCACAGGCGCCCTGGATTTGGGCGGTGCCTCCACCCAGATATCCTTCGTGGCAGAAGAGAAGATGGGGCTGAACATCAGTGACATCGTGCAGGTGTCCCTGTATGGCTACACATACACGCTGTACACACACAGCTTCCAGTGCTACGGCCGGAATGAAGCTGAGAAGAGGTTTCTGGCGATGCTCCTGCAGGTACCTGAGCTGGGGGATGGCAGGTATTTCCTTGAAGGTTTGAGCCCAGGGGAGTGTGCCCTGATTTCTAGTGCCTGCCCTTCTCACTTCAGTTGGAAGGTGATTGGAAATAACAGCATTTTCTAATTGGCTCTTCTGTGTCTAAATTCTCACTGTGTTTTTTGACCACTTTCCAGTGAATTTGAGTAAGAAGTCCAGGGAAGATCCAGAGTTCCAGATGCTTTATAAATGATTCAAGACCTGGGATCCCTTTATGAACACAAACTGTTTTAAACCAGTAGCTAAATAAGCCTGAGAATTTTGAGATTCCCCTAGGTGCAGACAAAATAATATTAGTGGTCACAAGAGAAATACTTGCTGGAAAGAGAGGAGGCAGAGCTTATGCAGGCTCAGTCTTCTTTCAGATGGGTCTATATTAGGCATCTGGATATCCTTTAATAGGTGGGACTGTAGAGCAACCAAATTCCATCATGTTGGTCTTGTTCTTCGTATGGTGAGGCCCGGGGGCACAGAAGGCTACTTGGGATATCAGCTGGAAGGCTGCCACTAATATAAACCCAACATCAGTGCAGTTTGTTTCTTTTGAACTTCAAAATCATATTAAGTAGTAACAAAAATAAATTATTCATTGAGATTATGATGGCAGTTGTTTTGGCAATTTTATTTGGTAAAATTATATTTAAAATATATCGGTTTGGGCTGGGGTTGTGGCTCAGTGGTAGAGTGCTTGCCTAGCATCGTGAGGCACTGGGTTCGATCCTCAGCACCACATAAAAATAAAATAAAGATATATGTGTCCTCCTACAACTAATATATATATATATATATATATATATATATATATATATAAATTTAAAAAATATATTTGTTTCGTAAAAATTATTAATGATATTAAGAATTTCTACCCAGAATTATTAATATCTTTTCATTTATTTAGTTCTTGGTTTATACCCTTCGATAAGATTTTTCATGCATGTATGTGGTATTGGGGATTGAAGCCAGGCATGCTCTACCACTGAGCAATTCCCCAAACCCCTTTTTCTTTTTCTTCTTTTTTTTTATAAGTCTTTTTTATACTGCTGTTTTTATTTATTTATTTATATGTGCTGCTGAGGATTGAACCCAGGGCCTCCCACACACTAGGCGAGCACTCTATTGCTGAGCCACAACCCCAGCCCCATCTTTTTTTTCTTTATTTTATTTTGAGATAGGATCTTGGTATGTTGCTAAGGTTAGCCTCAAACTTGTGATCTTGCCTCAGCCTCCTAATTGCAGTAATCAGCTGGGATTACAGGTGTGCGCCACTGCACCCAGCCTTCAGTAAAATTTATAGTTTTCATCATTTCTGTGCCATTGTTGTTAAATGTAGTTTGTGTGTTTATTTTTAAATTTTTTTACTTGTAATTAACACATTTTAATTCTACAAATTAATGAGATTCACTGTGATATCTCTATACATGCATTTATTATGCATCCACCTCTTCTAGTTTTTATCAGTTTTTTCATATTTTTTATAGTCTCTATTTTTTTTTTCCAATTTCAACTGGATTTACATTAAGAACAAATTATGGTATGGTTTTCTAGTGGAGCTTTTCTCTCAAACCCATTGATTGACCATGGCAGTGTCCTCAAACACTAGGAATGGTGAAGACTGTTGATTTTTGAGCGCCTAAATTGTCACATTGGCTGATCGAACTTAATGCCATACAAATAATTCAAGAACAAAAGATAAATGATAACTAGTATTTACTGAGCTTCTTAGCATCTGGCTTTTGCTGATGCTGGCTTTGAACTCACTATCCTGCCTCAGCCTCCCGAGTCACTGGGATTACAGGCGTGAGCTACCATGCCCAGCCCAGTCCTGCCTTGTTTTTTATATAAAACAGATCACAAGCCATATATGCCAAGCCATAAATGATTTATACTATTTCAGTCATTTAAAAACTATAAGTCAGATTCTGAAGTTGATACTAAACACCAAGTTGATTGACATGATTTTTTTCTCTTTCAACAAATATTTCAGCCATAAGTGACCCAGGTGTACTAGAATCCAAATTGGCTACAACAATTTGTGAAAAATCACAGGTTTTTTTTCACACCATTGGAGCAGAAAGGGATCTTATTACCTCCTTTGTAGACATGTGAAGATCTTTCTGGAAAACAGTCATGGGAGTGAGATTGGATGAGTGTTGAACTATAGAATTCTATGCAGAATCCTGTTACTGACCTTTGTTAGACAATTGCATTATTTTGTTGTGTACCTCAATTTCCCCATCAGTAAAATGCAAGGTTGGGCTGAATGTTGTAAGTCAGATTTTACTGTAGGAAAAGTACTACACTTTAATGGCTCTGAAATTGAATAGAGCTCAAATTCAATTCCTTATAAAAGGGAGTCCAGAAATAGAACCAAACCCAGTTAGGAATTTGTCATAAGATAAAAGAACACTTTACACCCACAGATAAGTTTGGATAGCCATCTAGAAAAGGTAAAACCAGGTCCTTGACTCAGTGTGTATTTTTTGTTGGTTTGTTTGGTTTTTGTTTTTCTTTTTTTTTAATGGGGTTGTTTTTGTTTGTTTGTTTGTTTGTTTGTTTTAGTACTGAGGATTGAACTCAGGGACACTGGACTACTGAGCCACACCCTCAGCCCTGTTTTGTATTTTAGAGACAGGTCTCACTGAGTTGCTTAGCACCTGGCTTTTGCTGATGCTGGCTTTGAACTCACTATCCTCCTGCCTCAGCCTCCCGAATCACTGGGATTACAGGTGTGTGCTACCCACACCCAGCCCAGTCCTGACTTGGTTTTTATATAAAACAGATCACAAATGGATCAAAGATTTATGTGGAACAAGGAGATGTGTGTGGGTGTGTGTTGGCAAAATGATTGGAAACCAGTCCCAATCAACTGCTAGAGGGTGTCCCTAGCAGTTACTAAAAAGAGGCCATCTACACATACAGTGATTGGAAAGATCCCAAAGATATATATTTTAAATAAGAAAAGCAAAGAGACGTGTATTCAAGGTGTTATCATTTGTGTTTTTTTTAAAGGAAAGAAAACAAAATATATTTGCATATGCACATAAGATCTCTGGAAGATTACACACAAAATTGGTCATAGTAGCTGCTTTCAGAGAGGGCTCTGATGGCTGGAAGCAGGTGGCAGGGAGCCTTCATTCTCATAATATGCTTATTTGTACCTTTTAGATTAGTTGACTAGGTAGAGATTCTCTTCAAAAATGAAAAATTAAAGATAACCTGTTTTCACACCAAAATGGAGTTTCCTGCTTCATAGGGCTATCATAAGGGCTGGATCAGATAGAGTGAGAGAGAGAGCCCAGCATTGTGCCTGGTTCAGGATAACTTCACACGCACCTTTCCCATCCCTTCAGGGCTTTCTTTAAAAGCTGGGATACAGTACACCCAGATACAGAATGGTATTTTTTCCCATTTTCTTTTTTTTTTTTTAATTTTTTTATTGTTGGTTGTTCAAAACATTACATAGTTCTTGACATATCATATTTCACACTTTGATTCAAGTGGGTTATGAACTCCCATTTTTACCCCATATACAGATTGCAGAATCACATCAGTTACACATCCATTGATTTACATATTGCCATACTAGTGTCTGTTGTGTTCTGCTGCCTTTCCTATCCTCTAATTTTTTCCCATTTTCTGTCTTGACATTGGAGAGTAGTAATAGTGAGGATTTGCCAAAATGAATGACTTCGTCCTCCACCTAACACCTCACTCTTCTTGTACCCACAGAATTCTCCCACTGAAACCAATCTCACCAACCCCTGCTACCCTCGGAATTATAGCACCACCTTCACTGTGGACCACGTATTTGACAGCCTGTGCACTGAGAAGCAGAGGCCAACAAGTTACGACCCCAATAGCCTCATCACTTTTGAAGGAACTGGGAACCCATCACTGTGTAGGGAGAAGGTGGCTTCCATATTTGACTTCAAAGCTTGCCATGATCAAGAAGGCTGTTCCTTTGATGGGACTTATCAGCCAAAGGTTCAAGGGCCATTTGTGGTAAGAGCACAACCCCCTGAAAGATCTCTGTCTGTGCCTGTAGAATATGTCTCTCTCCCCTTTCCAATTCTGGTACCCCTTTCTTCTTCTCCGCCCTGAAGCCTCCATGTCACATTCCATTCTGGAAATTTCCTCTCTACTTCTTCCAGGCATTTGCAGGATTCTACTACACAGCCAGTGCTTTAAATCTTTCTGGGAGTTTTTCCCTGGACTCCTTCAACTCAAGTACATGGAATTTCTGCTCCCAGGATTGGAGTGAGGTCAGTATTTAAAAGAAAGGAACAGCCAGGTATGATGATGCATACCTATAATTCCAACAGCTTGGGAGGCTGAGGCAGGAGGATCACAAGTTCAAAGCCAGCCTTAGCAACTTAGCCCCTAAGCAACTTAGCAAGACCCTATCCCAAAATTAAAAATAAAAGGGGCTCTAGCTCAGTGGTAAGGCACCCCTGGGTTCAATCCCTGGTACCAAAAGAAAAGAAAAAAAAAAGAAGGAACAATGTCAGTACAAGAACTATAGCAACAGAGCATATTCCCTTTGCGTGTATATGTGTGTTTATCCTGAATTTAGCCTTTGTGCTCTTCTAAGTCCACATCTATAAAATCTGGGTAATGAGGGAACCTACTTCACAACTATGTCATGGATTAATTTTTTAACCACATGCATAATGATTAGGACAGTGTTCAGCACATAATAAGCACTCAGGGGACTTAGGGATTATTATTATGTGACCTTGTGTAGGTTTTGTTTAATCACTATATTATATAATCCCATCATTATTTAATATAGCCATTTTTATTACAGAATTCTGGGTGATGATGTTTTTTAAAATATGACTGTTAACCTTAGGTGTTCTAAATGTGCATTGTAAAGTATACCTGCCCACTCCTCCTCTCAGATGTCTTAAACCTCCTTTTCAGCTCCCATTCCTGCTCCCCAAATTTGATGAGGTGTATGCCCGCTCCTACTGCTTCTCAGCCCACTACATCTACCACTTGCTTATAAATGGATACAAATTCACAGAGGAGACTTGGCCCCGAATACGTTTTGAAAAAGAAGTAAGTCAAGACATAAAATTGTTTTCTCTTCTTTCTCCCCAAAGAGAGGTTTGTAGCGTTTGTGGAAGAAATGTAGACAGTAAAAGGATATTAGAGATTTAAATTTGCTGAGTACAAGCTGATCAGATTGATCACTCCTTCCTGGGAGAAGACATAATGGAGACCAGAGTTGCTTACAGGAGACTGTTCCAGTTGAGGAAAGGACTGGAAGGCAAGGGCTAAGGTCTCACTATCTTTATATACCCGGCCTTCAGTGCCAGGGCTAGATCCTGGTAGCTGCTTGGGAAATGTTTATTGAGTGACAACTAAATATGTTAAAGATCTGAGTCTTTCCATCCTGAAAAGAAGTTCTAAATATAACTTGATTTTCAAGAGGATAATAACTAATTGTTCTTCATTTTACACAGATGTCAAATTAAGATCCAGGCTTCAGAGTATTCGGGATTTACACTAGCACATTAGCATGAAGTAAGAAGTTTCTCTTTAAATGAGCCTAAGGTATTTAACTACCAAAAACTTTAGGGATGGAGAAGATTTTGGCTTGGTGTTATTCACAGACGGACAGATAGACAGACAGGAATGAGTATCAAGTGAGCAAAATGTTTAAAAACTGTACTGGCAGCTGTCGCGACCACACCTTATTCTCAGGCAGGACTCAGCCTTGGGATACATTTAGCCATCATTCCCCAATTCTGAAGGACTTTCTCATTTCGGGAATGGCTGATGTGAAGCCATAGTCAGTCTGTTCAATATCAGCTTTGGCAATAATTAGATTAAACTAATCAATATCCTGCATTAGGCCTGTGACTGTCTATTTTCACATAAGTAAAATTGAGTCATCTACAAAAAATACAGGGATGTCTGGAATCAAGTACTGTTTGTGGCATGTACTCTTTAAGCTTTGCTTCCAAACAAATCTAATTACCAACAGGAAAGTACATTAAAAGAATGGAGAATGGCTTTCTATTGAATATCAATTTGAATTGAGAAAACATGCTAGGTTTAAAATTCTTTCTCCTTAAGAATTGTTTGTGTACCCAAGCTAGTGTTTAAACATGAGGGTATAAAAAGACTTTGGAAGATTTGCCACACAAGGACTTAAATTAAAAATATTTTTTGGAAACAGCAACTAACTAAGAAGAGAAATAAACCCAGGAGATGTTGCAAAAATACTGAAAGTAAAAACAAATGACATTTAAAAAATAAAACTAACACTGAAGTAAAAGAGAAAAGCCCATCCATATAACCCAAGTATAGAAAATCTCTAACCTGATAGAGGAATGGTAACAGGTGACAGTAAACAGGAACATAAGAATAGCCTAAAATTCTTGTTGTGTAAAGGAAACATACAGATATTATTTTTAAGGCAAGAAAAGAGGGAAAAAATAATATGGGAAAATAGCATTAGTAGGAATCACTAACGTAAGATATTGTAAAGAAGTCCAAATAATATCAATATATCATCAGTGGTCTAAACCCACCAATTGAAAGACAGACATTGTCAGGTTAGATTTTTAAAAATCAGTAGATGATTTATAAGAGAAACAGTTATACTTTAAGCATAAGCATATGGAAGAATTTAGAGTTTAAATTTTGTTTTCAATCATCCAGCAAATGCTACCCAAAAGAAAGTTGATATTGTTATTCAATATATGACAAAATGCTCTTTAAAACAAAGAGCATCATTTCAGATGGGGTTACCCCCAATGAAAAATAACTCCATTCACTTTGAATGGTGCAAGACATGTATGTGCCTAATAAAACAGTTTAAAAATATGTAAAGCAAAACTAGATGGAATTACCAGAAGAAGTTGACAAAGTTTGCTTCCCATTTGGACTCATCTCCTGTGCTTAGAACCTCCCTGGGTTCAGCAAATTGCTCATTGTCTTCTTGCTTTAGTCACAAACACCCCTGGGCAATAGGAATGCTTTCACTATTATTAACTGTCCCTTTTTTAGGCTATTAGAATTCATTCTTCCCACTGTTTTCTCTGCAGTGCTGAAGGTGGGACTCCCAATTCTTTGTAGTACTGTGTGGTGTCTGAACCTGGGTGAGCCCTTTGACCTCCTCAGGCCACATTTCCCTGTGCAGGCCTGGCAGGGTATACAGTGGCGTGCCCTGGTATAGGATCCCAGCCTTATGCCTTCCCTGAGAACTGAGTCATCTCTTCTACTCCACAGGTCGGGAACAGTAGCATCGGCTGGTCCCTAGGTTACATGCTCAGCCTGACCAACCAGATCCCAGCAGGGAGCCCCCTGATCCGCCTGCCTATACAGCCGACTGTCTTTGTGGGCATTCTTGCCTTCTTCACAGCCACAGCCCTGCTGTGCCTCGCATTTCTTTTGTACCTATGTTCAATGTCTAGGACAAAGAGGCGCTCTGAGCGTGTCTTTGACCATGCAGTGGATTCTGAGTGAGCCTTCAGAGCAGTTCCTGGAGCCCGAGGGTTCCCTAGAACCAGCCTGGGGAGCACCATGCAGTGCAAGTGAAGTGGCCACCTTCAGGAAATACTACTAAAGTCAAACACCTAGGTCACGTGCTGCTTGGATACCGACTTCTGCCAAAATGCCTCTTGGGGAATCCCTCAACAATTCTGTGCACATTGCTCCTCCAGGCACCCTTCTATCCATTTGTTGATCTATTGGGAAACAGAGGAGAGACAGGCCATCCCCCAGAGGAAGAGGAATTTGCGAATATAACAGTTTTATATAGAAGAATTGACCTCAGGGCTCAGTTTCCATTTTCCCTCCTTCAGTGTTCCTTGTGGCAAGACACCCATTAAGCATTTAATCCAGTCATATATCTTACCTTGTGACTTTCTCCCATTGGCCCTTAACCAAGACTTTCTTTTAGCAACCTCATAAGCATCGAAATCCTTCATATTGGTAGAATATAGTATCTGGGAGAGAAGACTCCCAAAAAAAGTGGCCATAGCCAGGCTTCTGTCGTGCAGGTAGAGCACAGAGCACAGAAGATACACAGAAGTGTCCCAAAACACTGCAGCCATTCCCAAAATGGAGCTCCCAGTCGGGGCTCTGGTTCCTAGGTTGCAACCTGTGTGAGTATCCTCCTGCACATCTCACCGTCATTGCTCTGCCCTCTTCTAGAACTCATTTACTCCTAGTGAGGGTATTGCATTCCAGAACTTATTGCCTTCACTAGGCTTTTGCTTCAGCCTGCCTTTCCATTATTAGCACGTTCTCTGTATTTTGCCCACCATTCCCATAGGCATCTTTGATAACCACGGCAGGCATCCTGTTCTATGATTTGCTCCTCAGTTCTTTCCTAGGTCTTAGGCCTCTCTACCAAGTAGCCATAAGACTCAACTTGGGGAAAGAAACAAAAGCTGCAGGAATATTTGCCTCCAACGTGAGATAAGAAGAACTTCAGCAAGTATAGTAGCTACAAACTAAAAGTCAACACTATTTCAGATTGTCATTTGTTAGATGAAAAATGGAATAAAGAACTCTTATTTTGACTTTCAATGTGTGCATTTGTTAACTTGAGTATGATACTCTTTCTTCTAAGGACTCAGGTAGTATTTATGAGAATTTTTTAAAATTAAGAAATGGAGGGAATTTTTTTAAAAAATCATGTGTTAATATCACCCTTATTCCACAGAGTTCAAAGTGCTTTCACTATGATGAAACTCTGACTCCAGTTGAGTCATACATTTCTGTACGTTAATTTGACATTCACAACTTGCCACAAGGATGGCCTCCCAAACCACCTTTGCTCCCATGTCCTTCCCTACATAGACTGTGGGTCATCCTTCCACACACTCAAATAATGCATATTTCCCAATGTCCAGTTCCAGTCCTGTCTTCCATAAAACTTTCCTTGCACACACACATGTGCATGTACAAACACACACACACACACACATATATGCATACACACAATGATATATATCCTGGACCGCTTTCTCAAAGCTAGCAACAGAAATTATTATTTATCTTTTTGTGTGTATACATATGGATTTTTTCCAAAATAGACAATAGGATACTAAGGACAAAGCTTGTCATCCGTCACTCATTTATTCAACAGACATCTACAAAACACTTACGATGGGCCTAACACTTTGCCAAGTATGGGTTTGGATGTGGATAAGTGCTATGAATGTAGAATTTACTCTTATTTGTTGATTGGAGTGGTTTCCATAAATGACTGAGGGATGGGAAATAAAATATAGAGATATCAAATGAACATAGCATCCAAATCACCAAGAGTTAGCAAGAAAAAGAAAAACATGTGTTTGCAAGACAGAGAGTCAAGACTGAAGCATGAAGGTCAGTTCTAGCCAATATTTTTAATCTATTTGGGAACTTGGAATAAGCTAATGAAGTATTTCTGGCTTCTTGACACATTGGTGAATTCTTATCAGATGCACCATGGTCATATATACAGTCTGAGTAAGATATTAGTTACCATGGTGAGCAGAATTCTAAAATAGTCTCCCAGCACCTTTGCCCTCTCTAGCACCTCATACGTAAATGTGCTTCTCCTGTGATTACATGATTAGGTGGTAAAAGGGCTTTGCAAATGTGATTATAATCAGTTGATCTTAAAATGGAAAGTTGATCCACGTAGGCCTCATTTTATCACATGAGCTCTTCGAAGGCAGAGGATTTTCTTCAAAAGAAGTCAGATTCAAAAACATAAGAGGAATTCCACATGTTGTTGCCTGCTTGAGGCTGGAGGGGACCATATGAAAGGCTTGAGCACAACCTCTAGAAACCAAGGGCAATCCCTGCCTGACAACCAGCGAGAATACAGGAACTGCTGTCCCACAGCTGTAAGAAACACAATTCTGCCAACAACCTGGATAAAGCCAAGTCCAATCCAAGTGATATCTTGATCTCAACCTTGCATGCTTTTAGCAGACAGCCCAGTTGAGCTCACCCCAACTTCTAACCTATTGAACTGAGCACTAAAAAGTGGATATTGTTTTAAGTTACTGAAGTTGTGACAATTCATTATCTAGTCACGGAAAATGAACACGACTATGGAACCCCAAGCCCCAAGGCTCCAACCAGAGCAAGTGCTTACATCTGAAATATGTGGTGAAGATAAAGACAATGAGGTACCACAAATTGTGTCTACTTACAATAGACACATAAGAAAGGCCTGGGCTTGGTGGTGAAATCTCATGCCGACACAGCTTAGCTAATAAGTGTCTTTGGAGCTGGGGACTCTGAGTTCAGCTTCTGGCCCAGTGAGTCTAAAACCCATCACATCACATTTCATTTCTCATGTGGCAGCTAGGAATTTAGTTTTAGATTTTGTCGTTCAATATGTCAGTTCACATGTGACAGAGGTGTGGCATGTGGCAGGTGTCATGTCAGAGGGGTGTGAAAATATGTGGAACAATTGAATGTCTATACGGAGGAAATTCAACTCCCTTCCTCACTTCATTTTCAAAAATTATTCCCAGACAGGTTAAAGACCTTAGCATGAAGACAAACCTGTAAAGTTTTTCAAAAAGAAGGTAGGAGAGAGCTGGGAATATAGCTCAGTTGGTAGACTGCTTGCCTCATATGCATAAGGCCCTGGGGGCAATCCCCAGCACTACCAAAAAAAAAAAAAAAGAAGAAGAAGAAGATAAGAGAAAGGGTTTGAGGCTTCTTAAACACTACACAATGAGCAGTAGTCAAAAGAGAACACCTGTTACACTGGATCACATTCAAATTAAAAACTCTGTTTGTCCAGCAATACCATGAAAAGAGTAAAAATACAAGCCACAGGGTGGAAGAAGGCATTTGCAACCTATACTACTGATAAAGGACTGGTTTCCAAATTACATGAAGGACTCCCACATATCAGTGGGGAAAAAGGCCCACCATCAGATGGGTCTCAATGGTCAAAAGGCTTGAAAAGATAGTTTGCAAAGGAGAAATCAAAGTGTCAAGCAAATGTGTGAAGAGGTGGTCAATCTCATTAATAGATTGGATGATACAAATTAAAACTACAATGAGATAACACAACATACATTTTAGTTTTGCAAAAATTAAAAAGTCAGGGGCTAGGTTGTAACTCAGAGGTAGAGTATGTGCTTAGCATGTAGGAGACCCTGAGTTAAATCCCCAGGACTTGGAGAAAAAAAAAGAGGTTTGACAATATCAGGATGTAGATAACTGGAACTCTCCTACACTGCTGGTAGGAATGTAAATTAATACAATCTGGAAAACTATGGTATTATTTAATAAGGTAGAAGATAAACATACCAAACAACCAGAAATTCCAGCCTAAGGCATATGCCTCAGAGACATGCCAGTATACACACCTGTAAATCATTTTGAGCAGCAACTGAGGTGTCTATCCCATAACATGAATGAATAAACAGTGATGTATCTATACGGCAAAAATATCATATGCTGATGAAATGAAAAAAACTGCAAATTCATGCTTAATATGGATGGAACTTACAAGCATAATGATGAGAGTAAAACTCAAGTTGCAAAAAAATATGTCCTTTAATTCCATTTACATCATGTTCAAAACAGGCAAAACTAAACATGCACGGAAGGTAAACTGTAGAGAAAAGCAAGGAGATTATAACTCTTAAATTTGGGGAAAGATGAGTTTGTTTGGAAAGGGATAAATGGGTGTCTTAGTTTGCTTAGATTGCCATAATAAAATATCATCATTTCATGACTTAAGATAAATTAATTTTCTTACAATTCTGGAGGTTAAGAAGTCCAAGATCAAGTCCAACATCAAGACTGGAAGTCCAGTCAATTAAGTTCCCTGCCAAAGTTCTCTTCCTTTCAAGGCCTTTCTTCTGAACTCTGGGGTGGGAAGGAGCTCTGATCTCTTCTTACAAGAGCACTAATCCCATCACAGGGCTCCACCCTCATGACCTCACCTACCTGTAATTATCTCCTGAAGGTCTTACCTCCAAATACCATCACATTGCAGGTTAGGGCTTCAACATCTGAATTTGAAGGACATATTCAGTCCATAACGATAGGGCTTCTGGGGTGACAGTGTGATTCTATAGCTAGGTAGGCGTTACAGGTGTTCCTTTTTTGAATCATTTATGCACTTTCCGAATGGGCTGTATGACCCTATAAAAATAAAGTTACAGATCTAGCTAATGTTTTTCAATCTCTTTGAGCCTTGATTTCCTTATAGATGAAAAGGGAACTTACAAGCAAAACTAAACATACCTACCTCCTGGGATAGTTGGAAAGATAAAATATGGCATTTAGCCACTGCCTGGCACAGAGAGTAGCCAATAGATACAAGTTTAGAAAAGTATTTCTTTCAACCATATATTCATTTATTTGTTTGCTTATCATACATTCACCAAAAGTCTACTATGTGTCAGTGAGCTACAGGACTGAGGTTGTAACAGAAATGAGACATATGTCCTCTTAAAACACATGAGATTTGAAGGCCCTCTGCTGGAGCCCTG